GAAAGGGAAAGGGAAAGGGAAAGGGAAAGGGAAAGGGAAAGGAAATGGAAGGACAACAACAACAAAAATATAATAAAACAAAACAGAAAAGCCTTCTACTTCATCTTTCCTATATCTTTCTCTCATGTGCCGGAATGCAAGACTTATGCTATCTTCTGTTGAGCACTACACAAGTGTTTGTAGGAGACAAGTCAAAGTTATACAGCAATTGAAATATGGTGCAAGGAACAATGAACTCTTCATACCAAAGACACCTCAGTGTGTCTTTCATTATGTAGTAAGGATGTTTCAGTGAGGACAACTAATAACATTTTGTGCAGGAATACATCTAATTAGCTTTTAAATAGTTGCACAAATTAAACCTGACACTTAACCCTATGTAAAACAGTTGTCACGCCTACTTCAAAGACTGAAAAACATTAGAATTAGATAAAGTCTACAATGTTTTAATTCTCACTGAACAAGCAGAAGCCATGTAAATGGCATAGCAATGCAACTGTTTGCACTGTGAGTGCAATGGCCCAAAACCCAATGGGTGTTATGAGTTCACAGAGTAGCACTTCTGAGCTTTGGGGCTCTGTCTCTTATGTAAAACCAGTGAGGATAGTAATTTTATACCATCTTGCATCCAGTTCTATTAGTAAAGACCTTGTTTGTTCTTAATTTCACACAAGACAATCAATTTGGCTCTTGAAATAGAAATGGGTTGTAAATAAAACTTTAATTATAGTGTTTCATTTTTAACCCAAGAGGGAGAAAGGAGGCTCACAATTCATCTAGATGAAACATTCTTAACTTTATTTTGTGTATAATTGCTGATGTGTTCAACTGAAATAATATGCATTCTGTAGTCATTGGATCAATATGATGAATTAAGTACAATCATTACTATCGCAGCTATCACACACTGATTTGAGAGATAATCATTTCATCCACGGGACCATGTTATTTTACTAATCTTTATGATCCAAACAATGCTCTGTTCATGTTCCAGCACACAGTGGGTGGGAGAATGGATTTATTAAGCTGGGTGGGTTTAGCCTTCTTTTATGTGTTCATTCAATTTTATGTTCATTTACTTATTGTGCACATATGGTGGTAGAAGCTGCTAAAGCAGTAAATGTTATTATGCAAACAAGGCAGCATGTTGAAACGGATGTAAGACTTCCAATATTTCTTTGGGAAGTTTTGTGACTAAAGACGCATTTCTCTTTATAGATCTGAGGGTCTATTTCAATAGATTTCCTTAATTGTTTCAAAAGTTATTCACAATTTTGGGTCCATAAAAGGATAAAACTGTAGAGAATCAACAAATTTTACAGAAACAAAACAAAACGAAACTATGGCAATGACATCAAATCTCTTGTAGCTTCAAAATGATGCAGTTTCTTTCCAAAACTATATAAGTGTTAAATATCYGTTTCCAACTAGCACTGTCAGCACTGGGCAAATTATATTGCTTACTACTCTTGGAATTATTAAATTTTAAAGCTGTTGTAGGTGATTGCCACCTATTGTTTATGTTGTCTTCATTCTAAAAGCATAATAAGAAGAAAAGAATACTAGCCAAACTGAAATTTTTAATCAAGGCTATGCAGTAGGAAAGAACCATATCTGGTATTCAGCTCACATGCTTCTGTAGGAGGGTGGCTTCTGTTTTCAGTTGCTGTACATATCATGTGCTAAACATCATAAATTATTAAGAAAATAAGTGCTATAATAAGTCTAAAGAGGAAAATGCATATTTTATTAGAATAGACAAAGTATTTTAAGATTTTATCATTGACACATGTATAAATGCTTCAGTAAAATATTGCAGCTCAGGGGAATGGGAAATCTATTTCTCCAAAGGGCTTTTCTCTCCTTATTTAGGCATTTGACATACAGTGATGGGTTCACTGAAATTGCCTCTTTTACACATTAAGCTTTTTGAAAGGCTTCCATTTTTTTCCTTCTAGAAGCTATTTGTTTCATGACAGTATTGTCTACATTCCTCACAAAAATGCAAGCATTTGTCCTTGTGCTAAATGCTGACATCCCCTGATAAGAAGAAAGCTAAAAAGGGGAAGAATTGAAGGTCAACATGTTTATTTTGCTCTCAAGTGAATACAGTAGATAAATAATTTTCAGTGACTGCCTACTTGCTACAATATAAAGTTTACAGATGCACTGGGATGAACATCTGCATTACCATGACTCTGAAGAGAAGTACAAACCTCAACTGTAAAAGTTCCTCCCTAAACACAGAGAAAAGTAAATGTTGTGTATTATTGGGCTCACTTCATCTTTTGCTTTTCTTGTTCACGTTAATTTAAATTTTCAGTTCATTACAGAAAATCAAAACAGTTACCAATCAGGTTCTAAAGGTACAAATCAGCCCAAAGGGAGAAAATAAAGCACATGC